GTTGATTTTGTTATCTGTTCATGACTGTTTACACGTCATTGATTGTGTTATCTGTTCATCACTATATTTATACATCATTAATCATGTTATCTGTTCATCACTATGTTTACACATTGTTGATCATGTTTTCTGTTCATCAGTATGTTTACACGTCATTGATCGTGTTATCTGTTCATCACTTTGTTTACACTTCGTTGATCATGTTAGTATTAGGTTTCTACTATGGTTGAAAGTTTAATTTACTGCCGTACTTATGTAGTGTGATTAAGCCATTTACTTTTTATTAGTGTATCTTATGTTTATCGTTTTACACATCTCTAAATGTAGGGCAATTGCTGTGTTTCTCCCGAATGTTACGGCCACATGACCCACTTGCTGAGTAGTCTTGCTAATGGAAGAATAATCTTAGCCTTAGAGGTAAGATTTCTTGTTTTATGTATAATTTTGTACATACACACAATACACATTTTTCTTTAACTGTTACACAGAACAGTCCAGTTCATGATTAGTTAACCCACTTACTGCTGGTTTATAGGGTAAGGTCCACGTTTGGCAGATGAATGTGAGTGTGCTGTATACGTGTAAGGCTTGCCAAAATCTCCATGTATTTAGGGTAGCCACAGTCAATGTGTTAGGAATATGTTTATGAATCAAACATACTTTTAAAGTATTATTTTATTTATAACTTTTTTCTCTAATAACCAGATGGCCTAATATTCAACTTTCTGAACCTTCAGTATTAAAAGAGTCACAGTCAAATCCATCTCACTGTTTGATTAGAGTAGTCCAAGAGATAGTAGTGGGTGATGTTCTAGTCTGTTAGCTCAAAATTAAGGTTATATAATACTGACAGCCCTTATGTAGCTTTGTGTGTATATTAAAAACCAGCAAGCCAATCACCACCTTCTTCCTATTTCTAATTGCATCATTCTCTGTCACTTCTATAGCACCTGCAAATCTATCTTGTCTCTCTGTTGAGGGAAAATGCCAAGCCTAACCAGTATTATTTTTATTGAGATGTATATTTCAGTGAGGAGAAGGACAAGAAAAAGAGGGTTCTGTAAGGATGCAAGACAAGGGTATAAGGGGGTATATTTATCTTCAGCAAGGATACAAAAAGAGCTTAACAATTGAAGACTTTTTAAAACTTGTTTTGCATATTTGGCAAGGATTAAAAAATAGATAAAATGTGACTTGTTTGAGTCTTTATTATAAGCTAGATGGGACTTGTTTGAGTCTGTATTATTAGCTAGATGGGACTTATTTGAGTCTGTATTATTATCTAGATGTGACTTGTTTGAGTCTGTATTATTAGCTGGGACATATAAGATGTGACTTGTTTGAGTCTGTATTATTAGCATATAAGATGTGACTTGTTTGAGTCTGTATTATTAGCTGGGACATATAAGATGTGACTTGTTTGAGTCTGTATTATTAGCTAGATGTGACTTGTTTGAGTCTTTATTATTAGCTAGATGGGACTTGTTTGAGTCTGTATTATTAGCTAGATGGGACTTGTTTGAGTCTGTATTATCAGCTAGATGTGACTTGTTTGAGTCTGTATTATTAGCTAGATGTGACTTGTTTGAGTCTGTATTATTAGCTAGATGTGACTTGCTTGAGTCTGTATTATTAGCTAGATGTGACTTGTTTGAGTCTTTATTATTAGCTAGATGGGACTTGTTTGAGTCTTTATTATTAGCTTGGACATAACAGGAAGAGAATGGTTCAGTATTTATAGCTAGAATACAAATATTTCTTGATCACTATGTCTGATTATTTGCATTTGTTATCACCAGGGCGGATACAATCTGACTACAATATCTGAAGCAATGTGTAGCTGTACAGATGCATTATTAGGAAATCCTCTTCCTCCTCTTCCCTCTGCTCTGAAAGTATCTCCAAGGTAACGTTCTTGTATATCAGATATTTTGAAAAAGGTGACACACACAGCAGGGATAGAACCAAATATTACACTACACACAGCAGGGATAGAGCCAAGTATTACACTACTCATAGTGAGGTAACTGTAGCCAAGTATTACACTACACACAGCAGGGATAGAGCCAAGTATTACACTACTCATAGTGAGGTAACTGTAGCCAAGTATTACACTACACACAGCAGGGATAGAGCCAAGTATTACACTACTCATAGTAAGGTAACTGTAGCCAAGTATTACACTACTCATAGTAAGGTAACTGTAGCCAAGTATTACACTACTCATAGTGAGGTAACTGTAGCCAAGTATTACACTACTCATAGTGAGGTAACTGTAGCCAAGTATTACACTACTCATAGTGAGGTAACTGTAGCCAAGTATTACACTACTCATAGTAAGGTAACTGTAGCCAAGTATTACATTACTCGTAGTAAGGTAACTGTAGCCAAGTAATACACTACTCATAGTAAGGTAACTGTAGCCAAGTATTACACTACTTATAGTAAGGTAACTGTAGCCAAGTATTACACTACTTATAGTAAGGTAACTGTAGCCAAGTATTACACTACTTATAGTGAGGTAACTGTAGCCAAGTATTACATTACTCATAGTGAGGTAACTGTAGCCAAGTATTACATTACTCATAGTGAGGTAACTGTAGCCAAGTATTACACTACTCATAGTGAGGTAACTGTAGCCAAGTATTACATTACTCATAGTGAGGTAACTGTAGCCATGTATTACATTACTCGTAGTGAGGTAACTGTAGCCATGTATTACATTACTCATAGTAAGGTAACTGTAGCCAAGTATTACACTACACATAGTAAGGTAACTGTAGCTAAGTATTACACTACACATAGTAAGGTAACTGTGGCTAAGTATTACACAACACATAGTAAGGTAACTGTAGCCAAGTATTACACTACTCGTAGTGAGGTAACTGTAGCCAAGTATTACACTACACATAGTAAGGTAAATGTAGCCATGTATTACACTGCTCATAGTAAGGTAACTTTAGCCAAGTATTACACTGCTCATAGTAAGGTAACTGTAGCCAAGTATTACACTACTCATAGTAAGGTAACTGTCGCCAAGTATTACACTACTTATAGTAAGGTAACTGTAGCCAAGTAGGACCATTGTTAGGACCACATATCATGAAAAACGATTAGACATAGAATTATTGATCTTCATTATTTATTGATTTTGTATAAAGATGCAATTTTCTACAAATAATAATTTATCTTCATAAAGTGTACAATAATTTTCTTATTGTTCTAGTGCCATTGAATCGATTTTAAACACAGTCCATGTTCATAAGAAATACTGGAACTGTCTACAGTTTGATGGTACGTAGTAACTCGTGTTTTATGTTTTAACTTAAAGACTGATACTTACCTTATGTTCATCAATTAACATTATTTCACAAATATTTGTTCTTTCTATCATCAAGGTTGTTTTGACAAAGTTCCTTTTACCCTAATCTGCATATTTCTTGAGCACTGTTGTTTATTTTTTACTTTGTGGCTACAAGATTACAAATCAAGAATTTCTTATTAATTACAAGGTATTTTTAAAACCCTAATGAAACCTGTAAAGACCAAGAGTTAATTATTAACTACGTTTTGTACTTAAAAATCCATACTATATTAATATATGTGTAAAACTGAAAGGGTATGTGTAAAGTCTTTGAACAGCTTACAAAACCTAAGAGCTACTATTAAAAGAAAGTAGCGTCCAACGCTGGTCAAAACATAGTGTTACTCGTCACTGACTGCTTCAGAGTGCTTTAGTACCCGTTTCTAACTAGCAATAAGCTCATGTTGTAAAGACAAAGGCTGGTTTAAAAAACATCAAAGTGTGTGGGACTAGAATTTGATAACTTAGCAGCAAGAACGTTTTTATGTTGAATGTTTTTGTCTTTGAACAAGTAGATGTGTTAAGACAAAGGTTTGAGGAAAATCCTAGAAGTTTTATATGTAACAGAATATTTAAAGGGGTGAGAAATACAGAGTTGGCACTCAGAAAAAGAAATGTATACTTAAAATAAGTTAACAAAACCAAAAGGTTTTATTTTCTTTAAAGAGAATAATTATATTAAAAAATTTGCTTTAAGGATTAAATGTGTGATCATTTTCTGATTTTAGTTGACCTTCCGTCATATGAACCACAGAAGACTGCCCTTGAGGATCTGGAGACTACTGTATTATCTGGGTGAATATTGGTTTTACTGAGTTTCACAGTTGTTGAATGTACACATTAGTGTACAGAGAGGTCACTTTAGGGTTTTAAAAGATGTGAACCATGAATTCAGAGTGGCCAAAAATCATACAAGTGTCATCCAGTTAATTGCAACAGACAATACGATAAAAACTGTGTGTGTACAGACTCATTCAGCTCACAACTCTGGCTAACTTATATCTAGTTTTGACAGTTCTAGTTGGACTGTCTAGGTGGTATTTTTACAGATATGTGAGATGAACCAACAGAGAAAACAAAGAACTTCAAATTAATGTGATTATATCATGTGAAGTGTAAGATCTCCTGCCATTACGTCAAGCCAATACAAGAATTTCTGAAGAAAAGAAGCGTGCATGGTGCTTTTTTTTTCAAAACAGGCACAATTTTACATTAATGTGATTTCTGATACAGCTTCATGTATTTTATTATGTTTCTTTACATGGTTCTCACTGTATTGATGCTGTATGCTTTCTAGATTCTTGTTTTGTTTGTCGACAGAGGAGATGATGGTGTTGTATGTAGCACCACTGCTTGTCACAGTGAACACATTTTTCACTCAGTTCTCTTTGATATACTTGGCATCTTGTTTCTTACAACACTTGATGTACAAACTGAGTTTCAGATTTAATTGGTTGATTTAGTTATATTCACAGTCAAAATGTGAGTTTGTTAACTATGGGAGTATTTCAGCAATATGCAGACAGTTTTCTCGGTTGTTCTA